CCCAAGCGGGCCCCGAGTCGCCGAAAGACCGCTCCAGGACGCCCAAGATAGGCCCAAGACGGCCCGAGAGGCGCCCCAAGGCACTCCACGACGCTTCAAGACGCCTCTCCAGAGCGCTTCCAGAGGCCGAAATCGTCAATTTTACGAAGGTTTTCGACCGATTTTGGCCTTCCAGCCTTTCGGCTGTCCGACGTTCCAAGATGGCTCAATAGGCCCACACGAGCGCCCCAAGACGGCCCAAGAGGGTCCCAAGACGGCCCCAGAGTCGCCCAAGACAGCCCAACAGAGCCCCAAGACGGCCCCAAGATGCGCCCAAGAGGGGGACAACGACTCCAAAATTCGACCCTCCGGCTTGAAGAGTGCCCCAGGAGGCCCCAAGGAGCCCCCAAGAGGCCCCAGGATGCCCCCAACAGGCACCCATGAGGCATGTTCTGGCGGGAGTCTTCCGGAACACGCTGCAGGAGGAGGAGGAAGATCAGGAGGAGAGAGCTGGAGTGGGAGGAGGAGGAGGGGGACGAGGAGGAGGAAGAGGCCTCCCAGACAGCTCCAAGATAGCCGAAGAGGTTTCCAAGAGGGCCCTGGGCGGCCCACGAGGGCCCCAAGGCGGTGCCTGAGGCGCCCAAGACGGCCCGAGAGGGCCCCAAGACGGCCCCAAGAGAGGCCCAAGAAGGGAAACATGAACCAAGAATCCGAGCTTTCTACCCCGAGAGGGTCTCGGGAAGTCCCAGGAGGCCCCCAATCGGATCCAAGAGGCCCCCAAGAAGCTCCCAAGAGGGCCGACGAGGTTCCAAGAGATCTCCCAAGGTGGCCCCAAGAGGCACAACTCATTGTTTTACGATTGGGCTTTGACGTTTTTTTTTCGGCCTTTTGGTGGCATCCCGATGCTCCAAGACGGCCCAAGAGGCTTCCAATACCGCTCCCATATAGAGGAAGAGGCCTCCAAGAGGGCCCCAAGACTGCCCGCGAGGGCCCCAAGACTGTGCTTGAGGCGCCCAAGACGGCCCGAGAGGGCCCCAAGAGCCCCAAGAGAGGCCCAAGAAGGGGAACGCGACCCAACAGCAGAGCGGTCCCCCCACAAGGCCCACAGGAGGCCGCAAGAGGCCCCCAAGTGGTCCGACGAGGACCCCAAAAGCTTCCCCGAGGGCCTAAAGGCCACCAGGAGACGTCCAAGAGGCTTTCAAATAGCCCAAGAGTGCCCTCGATGCGTCAAAATTGCTTCCAGGAGGCCCCTGGAGGCTTCCGGATTGTCTCAATCTGGCCGCAGGTGGCCTCAAGTCGGGCCTCCACGCAGCCAAGACGGCCAATGACGGCTTCAGATTGCAGAACCGATGCCCCCAAGGGACCCTCAGACGCCCCCCCAAGAAGCACCCAAGAGGTGCCTCCAACAGCCAGCTGACGAAGCATGCGGAACACCCCAGAAGCTCCTCAGATGCCGTCGCGCGCCTGTGCTTGATAGCGTTGTCCAAGATCGTCCAGCGCCCCCCCGGCCTGGGCTAGAACCTGAGCGCGCGCGAAGCGCGCGCGATGGTTCTAGTATGTATGTATGTATATATATATATATATATATATGTATTGGTGGATTCCTTACTCTCTTCCACGCGGTCCCTATGCACTCCGTCCTGGCCGCAGGTCAGTCGGGGTCTTCCCCTTTCACTGCTGGCTTTCTCTCTCGGCCTTTCATCCTGCCACGCTGTGTGCACTTCGCGTGGACGCGCCCCGTGCAAACTTGGCTCGCGAAAGTGGTGCCACGTCGCTGGCGGAGGGAAAGGAGTGGGGGGGGGGGTTCGATGCCCAAGAGCCGGCCTCAGAAGTTTGTCGTGTATGTGTACCGACCACACGTAAGAGTGACCCTTCGCCGGAGTGACCCGTGGTGCGGGCCCACAGGGGTCCCCGGATGTCCGAGCTGCGATAGCAGCGTCCTGCTCGCTTGTGTTTGGCCCCCCCCGCGGCACCCCAAAGAGCCGCGCACCAGAGGTCACTCTTACCCAGGGTCACTCTGGAGGGTTTCTCAGAAGGGCTTAGGCGACTCCTCCTCCTCCTCCTCCTCCTCCTCCTCCTCGTCCGCCTCCTCCTCCTCCTCCCCCGCCTCCTCCTCCTCCTCCTCCCCCGCCTCCTCCTCCTCCTCCTCCTCCTCCTCCTCCTCCTCCTCCTCCTCCTCCATGTCCTGCATGTTCTGCGTTCTGCGTTGGGATAGCTTGAGCTGGTTCCCGAGAGTCCCACGGGGCCCGGCAGGCGGCCTCCTCGGAAGTGTGCCGCGCAGGCGTGTCGCGTGCTTCGTCTGCGCTGGGACGGCGTGGACTGGTCTCCGAGAGCTTCATGAACGAAGGATTGCAAAAAAAACGAAGGATTGCAAAAAAAACGAAGGATTGCAACACCAAAAACGTTTTTTTTGTTTTGTTGCAATCCTTCGTTTTTTTGCAATCCTGTTTTTTTTTGTTTTTTTTGCAATCCTACGTTGGGACGGCGTGGACTGGTCTCTGAGAGTTTCATGCCGTACTTCGGGTAAGGCAATGCTTGGACGTTTCTGCGGGCTCGCGCTGTCAATCGTCCATCACGGAGGCAGCAGCAGGCGGTGGGTAGCTGCGCGTGTTTTCGTGCATCTGCGTCTCATGACCACTCCGAGTGCCGTTCTCACTCTCGCCATGCATAGTTGGCACAGCTATCTCGTGACCCTTGAGGCGATCGCAGGGCAGAGACAGCTGGAACTGAGGGGGAGGGCACGGCTCGTCGGCGCTGCCTGCATGACGTGAATACCATGGCCACGAGGTGTCCCCGACGCACGACCACGCGTCGACGCCCTCCAGGCCCACGTGTGGATGCGACGAGATTATGGTCTGAAGGGCAGCCGCGCGGCCGCGGCACTCACCGCACGGAGTGCGGCGCGCTGCTCCAGACCCTCCTCCTCCTCCTCCTCCTCCTCCTCCTCCTCCTCCTCCTCCTCCTCCTCCTCCTCCTCCTCCTCCCCCCTTCCTCCTCCTACCCCCCCTTCCTCCTCCTCCCCCCCTTCCTCCTCCTCCCCATTCCCCCCCCCCATCCTCCTCCTCCTCCTCCTCCTCCTCCTCCTCCTCCTCCTCCTCCTCCTCCTCGGGCTGGCCGCCCTCCTTGCCTGGGCCACGAACGGCACGTGCGCAGACCCCGGGCCCGCGGCCGCGCCCGGCTCAGTGCAGGCGTGCACGCCCGTCGTTGAGAGTAGGCATTGCTGGATGCCCAGATCCCAAATCCACTTCGAGCGCCGTCCTGGTCCTGTTGCGCGTTGCCGCTCTCTGGGAAGGCCTGAGCCCAATCCACTCCGTCCGCCTTCCAACCGCACGCTTTGGCTGCTTCTCTTTCGACCGGCGCGTATCGCAGGCGCTTGCCGAGCTGGCTCGCCACCCGCACTCGCCTGTCGGTTCTCGACCGCCAGACGGCAGACCTGCTCGCCGGCCTCTCCTCGTCCCCGCTCCTTCTCGCCACGACAGGGGGAGGAGGAGGAGGAGGAGGAGGAGGAGGAGGAGGAGGAGGAGGAGGAGGAGGAGGAGGAGGAGGAGGAGGAGGAGAAGCGGAGAAGAAGAAGAAGAGACGGAAGAGGAGGAGCGGGAGAAGGAGGAGGAGGGGCGGGGCGGCGGAAGGAGGAGGAGGATGGAAGGAGGAGGAGGAGGAGGAGGAGGAGGAGGAGGAGGATAATCCAGATGAGAATGAGGAGGAGGAGGAGGAGGAGGAGGAGGAAGATGAGAAAGAAGACGAGGAGGAGGCGTGCTGGAAGGCAGCGAGAGGCCGCTGGAGACACGGGCCGTGGGCGAGAAACGGGGCCGTCAGCCGCCTGGCCGTCCTCTTCCGTGTTCCCCGGGGGGCAGCACAGCTCGGGCAGCCCCGGAAGGCACAGCACAGACAAGATCGAGGTGGTGCCCGTGGCCTGGTCCGCCTCGGCGTCAGGGCTGCGAGAGATGTGCGAGGAGGAACGGGGCCGTCAGCTGCTTGGCCGTCCTCCTCCTCCTTCCTCAGGGGGCAGCACGGCTCGGGCAGTCTTGCCAGGCGATCGCGAACATGGATTGAGGGGGCGTGGATTGGCGACGGGTCCCGCTTCCTTGGGAAATCGCGGCTTTCCGCCGCCGAGCGAGGCGGCACCAGCCGCATTTGGGGGCCCCGATCCATGGCTTTGGCGACCGCGCGCCAAATCCATGGATCGCTAATCCATGTTTGCGTGCCCCCGATCTTGGAAGGCATACGGTGGGGGCATTGATTAAGGAATAGTCCCAGGAGGCGCCAGACCCTGGAGGATTCCTTATCCAATGAGGGCGGCGGTGGTATCCATGGCCGATCCACGATTGGCGTTCCTCTGGCTTCCAGACCCTTGGTTCCTTATCTAAGGGTTCCTTATCCAATGCCCCCACCTTAGTACAGACAATATTGAGATAGTGCCCGTGGCCTGATCCGCCTCGGCGTCAGGGCTGCGAGAGGTGTGCCGCGTTCACCCCCTCCGGGCGCTGCGCGGCACGCTGCGGCCTGGCTCATGAGGCAAGTGGCAAGGACCACCTCGCCGCCTGCACCATGATGCCGGTGCTCCCGTCGCCTCCTCCACAGCGCCAGTCGCAGCTTGCGCCTTCTTCTCGGTTGCTCCCTGCCCTGGCCCCCATTGAAACTCCCGCTCCACCTGAGCGACGCACACAAACGGGTACGTCTTCACCGACACTGGCGCGCAAGCTGCCCGCGGAAGGTCGCGCGCAGCGCCCTTGTCTCCATTGTGGCTTGCCGCGCTGGTGGCCCGCGGAAGCCATCGCGTAAGATCGCTGTGCCATCTCGGGAAGACGTTTGATCGTACGTCTTATTTTTTTTTCGATCTGCCCTCCATCCCTCCCTTGCTTCTTTGTTCCTTTTTTTTTTTTTCTTTTTCTGGTTCTCTTTCTTCTTTTTTGAGTTTTCTTCTATTCGGCCTCAGCTCAGCTCTTCCCGGAGGAAGACGAAGAGGAGGAGTAGGAGTGGAGGAGGAGGAGGAGGAAGAAGACGAAGAGATGAAGAGCAGGAGGAGGAGTGAGGTGGAGGAGGAGGAGGAGATTGGAGGAGGAGGAGGAGGAGGAGAAGGAGGAGGAGGAGGAGATTGGAGGAGGAGGGGGAGGAGGAGAAGGAAAAGGCGGAGTTCTCCTCCACCGCGCGTGCCTTCCCCCCGGCCCTGCCTGCCCCTGCCCCGAAAACACTCCCTGCCGCGCCCCCCCCCGCGGGCCGGGCCCCGCCGAGACCCTCCCTGCCGTTGTGGCAGGGACGCGCGAGGGCGCAAGGGCGAGGGGGAGGCAGGGGGCGAGGGAGCGGGAATAGCCTCCCCAAATCCCACCCGCACCGACGAGCTTCGCCTAAAAGTCTCCTATAAGCATAATAAATACTACTAACACTCCCATCCAATCCCCCTCCTTTCATCTCATACTCCTCCTCGCTCACTTGAGGGCCTTGCTCGTCCTCTCTTCCCCCTCCTCTTCCTCTTTCTCCTCCTCCCACCACTCCACGCCCAGATTTGTGCATCTCGCGCCTTCGCCGCTCGTTCTGCCATGTCCTTCAGCGGTTCAAGGATGGGGCCAGACCCCTCCCTGAAACGCCCGCCGCACTTCCCCCGTGTTGCCCGACTCGTCCATTCCGCCCCCGCTCCCACACCCCCCCCTCCACGCCCAGGTTTTTGCATTTTCCGTCTTCGCCGCTCATTTTACCATGTCCTCCGGCGGTTCAAGGATGGGGCCCACAGGCTTGGCATCGCTCGGACCTGTGCATGTTTTCGGCGGCGACCATCGAGGAGCATCTCGGATCATTTTGAGAACAAGACACGCACGATATCGAAACATGCGCGGGGAATGGACGTCCCAGCGATGGCAAGTCTTCGCCGATCGTTCTGCCATGTCCTTCGGCGTCTCCAGCATGGGGCCCAGAGGACGAGGGGGCGGAAAAAATGTGAGATCAGCCTGGGGTCCCATCGTCGGAGCGCCGAGTCCTTTGCATGCCACGCCCGAGGACCATGAGCCTCGCGTGTGGCGCGGAAGCCCATCGTGCACGTGGCCCCGCCCACAAGCGGCTCCGGGACGCATGGTCCGACCTGACCCGTGCCACGCCGAAGGCCGATCTTCTGCACGAGAATTCGAAGCGCTACAGACTCGGCGGGAGGAGAGGCGACACCACCACCCTCAGGGGGGGGGGATCCACGGTGCCTCCCCGAGCTGGGGATACGGGGTGTCTCGAGCGAGAGGGGGGCGGGGGACCACACCAGGAGGAACTCCCTGGCGCCTGGCGCTGGTGGTGGTGGTGGTGTCGATGTTCGTTGTTCCTCTACAGGCGCGTGCTCAAGTGGCGCTCAGCATCGTTAGGATGTTTCGACAGCTGCGTCCACGAGACATTGACAACGGGCAATGCCAGTTCGACCCAATAGCTCTGGGAGCGACCGTTCCATCTATCGCTTCCGCTCTGCACTGCTCTCGAAGGATTTCCGCCAATCTCTGGAGCTTCGGGGGGAGTGAAGGTGAAGCGCCGATGTGCTACGCCGCAGAAAGTGTGCATGTGCTACCGAAACGCACGTGCGCTTCTTTATGAATGGGTGTGGTTCTCTCTGTACAGTCAACGTAAATCTTGACAGTGTGGATAGGATGCGTGTGCAAATGTTGTGTGTGTGTGTGTTGGTGCACATGTTTTGCATGCAAACGTGTGTATACAACCTCGTAGCTCTCATTGTTCCTCCATCTCGTGTGTCCTTGCTTGCGCAAGCTTGCCAGGCGGAGGCTCGCATTTCAAAATGCTTGCGAACATGCACGGTAGTCTTACTTCTGCGCACGCTCATGATAGCGCTTTGATGTTAGTGAAGCATTGAGATGCACATAGTGATCATGATTTCGCATTGACTGGCGAAGGGATGTTCAAAGCGGAGTCTGAAGATACTAGAGTAGCGTAGCATATGTATTGAGAGTGCGCTAGTGCTGCATGCTCAGTCTTTACAAATGGAGCTGGTGGGTGTTTCGCGCGCGGGCCCAAGATACTGGAGCATCATGCTTCTGGTTGGACGTACTGCAGGAATCTCGCCACCACGGCCGGTGCCTTCCGCCGCCTGTCGATGATTTGAAGCATGGCTTCTTGACTTGCAAGTGGGATGCTACGTCTTGGTCCTCTCCTGCGCAAGTCAGACTTGGCCTGCTTGGTTCTCATCGATGTCTGCCGAAAGTTGGATGGTTCATGAGTCGGTGGATCAAAAGGCCTTCACGCCCGCGGTGCCACGTGAATCCTCCTGGATGTTTTGAGCAATATGTGGTGTCGGCTGCGGCCCCTGCCCTATTTCGGTTCTGCCTCTGCTTTGCCATGTGCGAGGTGCCGCCACCACAGGCTGGGCGCCATCGTGGATTGCCATGGGCTTAGCTGGTCGCCTGGACATTCTCCAGCGCCTCAGGCATGGAAGGACGAAGGCTCACTCGGCTTGCTGATGTGATTGGTTGGCATCGCGTGTATGAAAGGCGAGGATCGAAAACCAAGATATCTGGACTATCCCGAGCGCCACGGTGGCAGTGGTCCCGCCATCAGCACCCATAAACAAACACAGAACGCGTTCATATCAGATGCAGTTGATGTGTTGAGATGTTAAGACGAGCTTCTCCATCCCCGCAGCAGATGCAAACTGCAAGGCCAGCTTTGTGTTCGCTGCAGCCATCACCTACACATATTTTCCTCCGTGCACACGCGTGCACCCTTCAGGTGGTCTTCCTGTGGTGAATCATTGTTGCTGAGTTTGTCAACGCTCTGACGTTTGCCACCGTCAGTGTTCGTTGTTTCCCCATTCGCAACTTGTCTTTTGGCGGGACAGCGCCTGTGTGGCCGAACGTTGAGGCCAGATCTGCCAAGCGGTTTGGAAAGCTTTCGGGAAACACGTGGGCATCTTGAAGGTCCTCGTGGCCGTCTGGAGGCCATTTTGACCCCTTCGGGCCTTCTTGGAGGACGTCTTGGAGGGCTCTTGGGCCGTCTTCGAGGCCATCTTGAGCGTCTTGGAGGCCTCTTGGGCCGTCTTGGGGGCCTCTTGGGGCCGTCTTGGGGCCGTCTTGGGCCTCTTGGACGATCTTTGGGGGCACTTGGGCCGTCTCGGGCCGTCGGAAGGCCGAAAAGAAGCAAATGTCACAACCCTTTACAACAACTCATGGGAAAACAATGATGCTGGCCTCTTCGGGCCTTCCTGGAGTCCCTCTTGGAGGCCTCTTGGGCCTTCTTGGGCAATCTTAGGGCCATCTTCGGCCGTCTTGGTGGGCTCCTGGCCCGTCTGACGCCGTCGGGAGCCGTCTGGGGGGCCTCTCTGGGCCGACTTGGGGCCCTCTTGGGGTGCTCCAGGGCCGTCTTGGAGGTCATCTTGGGCGTCTTAAAGACCTCCTGCGCCGTCTTGGGGGCTTCTTGGGGCCGTCTTGGGGGCCTCTTGGGCCGTTCTGGGACCATCTTGGAGGCCTCTTGGGCGATATTTGGGCGATCTTTGGGGGCTCTTGGGCCGTCTCGGTCCGTCGGAAGGCCGAAAAGAAGCAAATGTTCATATCTTTCAAACATCTCAGGGACATCAATGTTTTTGTGCCTTGCCTGGCTTTCCTGGAGTCCCTCTTGGAGGCCACTTGGGCCGTCTTGGGCCAGCTTCGAGCCAACTTCGGCCGTCTTGGTGGGTTCCTGGCACGTCTGACGCCGTCGGGAGCCGTCTTGGGGGCCTCTCTGAACCGACTTGGGGTCCTCTTGGGGCGCTTCGAGGCCGTCTTGGAGGCTATCTTGGACGTCTTGGAGGTCTCTTGGGCCGTCTTGTGGCCCTCTTGGGGCCGTCTTGGAGGCCTCTTGGGCCGTGATGGGACCCTCTTGGAGGCCTCGTGGGCGATCTTGGGGGGATCTTGGCGGCCTCTTGGGCCGTCTTGAGCCATCGGAATGCCGAGAAGAGGCAAATGCCCAAATCCTTCAAAAACCTATGGAAAATCAATGATGTTGGCCTCTTCGGGCCCTCCTGGAGCACCTCTTGGAGGCCCCTTGGGCCGTATTGAGGCCTCTTGGGCCGTCTTGGGCCATCTTGAGGCTATCTTACGCCATCTTGGGTACATCTTGGGTCGTCTTGGAGGCATCTTGGGGCCACCTTAGCCGTCTTGGAGGCCATCTTGGCCGTCTTGGATGCATCTTGGAGGCCATCTTGGGCCGTCTTGGAGCCGTCTGGACCAGGAAAAACCCTTCGGAACTGGGTCGTGGCAAATTTGGGGCATCCTTTCGGGTGGCCGGCGGGACGGGCCGAAGCCCCAGGGCGAGTCCGCCGCCCCTTGTCGATCCGCCACCCCCTGTCGATTCATCGCAGGGGTGCCTGGCGTGCTAGATGATTTCGGTTTTGGTTTTGGTTCTTTCCCAAAAGAATTCCCCCTGGGGCTCCGGCGCGACCCGCTGGGGTCCCAGTAAGGATCTCAAAACGCATCCGTCGATGTTTTCGTTGCCCCAAGTTAGCCCAACATGGCCTCCAAGATGGCCCAGGATGGCCTCCAACTTCGCCCAAGATGGTCCAAGATGGCCTCCAAGATGGCCCAAGAGGGTCCAAGATGCCTTCCAAATCGCCCAAGAAGCTTCAAAACGGGTCAAGATGGCTCCAAAATGGCCTCAAGATGGCCCCAAGACGGGCACAAGAGCCTCTTGTGACAAGAGGTCCCCCAGGAGAGCCCGAAGAGGCCAAAATCATTGATTTTCCATGAATTTGCAAATTATTTTGACACATGCTTCTTTTAAGCCTTCCTGCTTCCAAGACGGCCCAAGAGGCCCCCAAGATCGCCCCCAGAGCACCCAAGAGGCCTCCAAGATGGCCCCATCACGGCCCAAGAGGCCCCGAAGACGGCCACAAGAGGGCCCCAAGACGGGCCAAGAGGCTTCCAAGACGCCCAAGATGGCCTCCAAGACAGTCCCGAAGTGCCCCAAAAGGGCCCCAAGCTGGTTCAGAGAGGCCCCCAAGACGGCTCCCGACGGCGTCAGACGGGCCAGGAACCCACCAAGATGGCCGAAGTTGGCTCGAAGCTGGCCCAAGACGGCCCAAGAGGCCTCCAAGAGAGCCTCCAGGAAGGCCAGAAAAGGCACAAAAACATTGATGTTCCTGAGGTTTTGATCGCCCAAGAGGCCTCCAAGATGGCCCCAGAACGGGCCAAGAGGCCCCCAAGACGGCCCCAAGAGGCCTCCAAGACGGCCCAGGAGGTTTTTCAGACGCCCAAGATGACCTCCAAGACGTCCCTGGAGCATTCCAAGAGGGCCCCAAGTCGGCCCAGACAGGCCCCCCAAACGGCTTCCGACGGCGTCAGACAGGCCAGGAGCCTACCAAGACGGCCGAAGATGGCTTCAAAATTGCCCAAGAGACCTCCAAGAGGGCCTCCAGGAAGGCCCGAAAAGGCCAAAATCTTTGATCTCCCATGAGTTATTGTAGAGGATTTTGGCATTTGCTTCTTTTCGGCCTTCATGCGGCCCGAGACGGCCCAAGTGCCCCCAAAGATCGTCCAAGAGGCCCAGAACGGCCCCAAGAGACCCCCAAGATGGCCCAAGAGCCCTCCAAGACGCTCAAGATGGCCTCCAAGACTGCCCAAGATGACCTCCAAGACGTCCTCCAAGAAGGCCCGAAAGGGTCAAAATGGCCTCCAGACGGCCAAGATGACCTTCAAGATGCCCACGTGTTTCCCGAAGAAGGCTTGGGACGATTGGCGGAGGTAGGATTTGTGCATCGCAATCGCTATTAAAAAATAGGATGAAGTCATCATTGATTGATTGGGTGGAAGAGGAGTAGAATGAGGAGGAGGTGAGGTGAGGTGGAGGGAAAGAGATGAGGTAGGAGGGAGCGAAGGAGGAGAAGGAGGAGGAGGAATAATAATTACCCTGTGACGTACCCAACCCATTTGTATCAATGGAAACGATGAGTTGGCCGAAACTTGTATGGACAATCAACTTGATGTCTAAGCTACTTGGGAGGCGTCATTGTGCTGAGCCCCGCAAGCAGGCCTCGAAAGTGGCGACAGTTTCACAGATCGCAGCCCCCCAGGGATGGCGAGGCCCCATGTGAGTCTGCCGTGAGTACCCACTGTGCTGGGCCCCCCAGCAGGCCTCGAAAGTGGCGACAGTTTCACAGATCGCAGCCCCCCAGGGATGGCGAGGTCCAAGTTGAGTCCGCGGTGAGTACCCACTGTGTTGTGCCCCTCAGCAGCCATCGAAAGTGGCGACAGTTTCACAGATCGCAGCCCCCCAGGGATGGCGAGGTCTAACCTGAGTCTGCGGTGAGTACCCACTGTGCTGGGCCCCCCAGTAGGCCTCGAAAGTGGCGACAGTTTCACAGATCGCAGCCCCCCAAGGATGGCGAGGTCCCATTTGAGTCTGCAGTGAGTACCCACTGTGCTGGGCCCCCTAGCAGCCCTCGAAAGTGGCGACAGTTTCACAGATCGCAGTCCCCCAGGGATGGCGAAGTCTAATTTGAATCTGCGTGTGGGTACCCACTGTGCTGTGCCCCTCAGCAGCCCTCGAACGTGGCGACAGTTTCACAGATTGCAGCCCCCCAGGGACGGCGAGGTCCCACTTGAGTCTGCCGTGAGTACCCACTCTGCTGGCCCCCCCCTGCAGGCCTCGAAAGTGGCGACAGTTTCACAAAACGCAGCCCCCCAGGGATGGTGAGGTCCCATTTGAGTTTGCCGTGAGTACCCACTGCGTTGGGCCCCCCAGCAGGCATCGAAAGTGGCGACAGTTTCACAGATCGCAGCCCCCCAGGGATGGCGAGGTCCCATTTGAGTCTGCCGTGTGTACCCACTGTCTGGCCCCCCAGCAGGCCTCGAAAGTGGAGATTTGTTCACAGATCGCACCCCCCAGGGAATGGCGAGGTCTCCTTGTGGAAGTCTGCCGTGATTACCCACTGTGCTGGCCCCGCCCCCAGCAGCCTCGAAAGTGGCGACAGTCTCGACAAGATTCGCAGCCCCCCACGGGTTGGCGAGTTCCCATTCGAGTCTGCGGTGAGTACCCACTGTGCTTGGCCGCCCCCAGCAGCCCTCAGAAGTTGGCGACAGTTTCACAGATCGCAAGCCCCCCAGAGATGGCGAGGTCCCATGTGAAGTCTGGGCGTGGTAACCCACTGTGCTGGGCCCGTTCCCCCCAGCAGGCCTCGGAAAGTGGTCGACAGTTTTCACAATCGCAGCCCAGCCCAGGGATGGCGAGATCACATTTGATGTCTGCCCGTTGAGTACCCACTGGCTGGGACCCCCCACAGCAGGGCCTGAAAGTGGCGACAGTTTTCCAGCAGATCGCAGCCCCCCAGGGATGGCGAGGTCACATTTGAGTCTGCCGTGAGTACCCACTGTGCTGGGCCCCCTAGCAGGCCTCGAAAGTGGCGACTGCTTCACAGATCGCAGCCCCTCAGGGATGGCGAGGTCCCATGTGAGTCTGCCGTGAGTGCCCACTGTGCTGGGCCCCCCAGCAGCCCTCGAAAGTGGCGACAGTTTCATAGATCGCAGCCCCCCAGGGATGGCGAGGTCACATGTGGGTCTGCCGTGAGTACCCACTGTGCTGGGCCCCCCAGCAGGCTTCGAAAGTGGCGACCGTTTCACAGATCGCAGCCCCCCAGGGATGGCGAGGTCCCATTCGAGTCTGCCGTGGGTACCCACTGTGCTGGGCCCCCCAGCAGGCCTCGAAAGTGGCGACAGTTTCACAGATCGCAGCCCCCCCAAGGATGGCGAGATCCCATTTGAGTTTGCCGTGAGTACCCACTGTGCTGGGCCCCCCAGCAGGCCTCGAAAGTGGCGACAGTCTCACAGATCGCAGCCCCCCAGCTGGCACGCAGCGACGAGCGAGGCAAAAGGCAAGGGTGAAGAGAGGGGCGGGAAGGAGGCAAGGCGACGCGCGAGCAGTGCTCTATTCAAAACGAGAACCCAACGCAGGAGGGTTGGGAATAATAATAGTAATAATAATAATAATAATACTAATAATATTAATAATAATAATAATAATCATAATAACAATAATAATAATAATAATAATAATAATAATAATAACAATAATAATAATAATGATAATGATAATAATAATAATAACAATAATACTAATAATAATAATAATAATAATATGAAACAGAAAGGAGGAGGAGGAGGAGGAGGAGGAGGAGGACGAGGAGGAGGAGGAGGAGGAGGAGGAGGAGAGGAGGAGGAGGAGGAGGAGGAGGAGGAGGAGGTCCAGTGTAAACCCAGGACCCATCAACGATGTTGCAATGAACCCTTCCTCCAAGTTATATCATCATGGGTCCCTAAATGGGCTCATTGTTACTGAGGGAAGTGTCCCCTTGGAGGATATCCGTTCGAAAATCCTGAGCCGTGCCAGAATTCGTTCTTGGGACATCATCGCCCCAACTATATTTTACAGTTGCGACCTGACGATCTTGAGTCGTGCCAGAACACCATTTTTGACATCATAACACCACGAATGAAAGCAGCCGCTGCGTCCTGACAGTCTTCCGCCATGCTAAAACACCATTCCCGGGACGTCAGCCGTCAGCATCCTTGACACGGTTGTAAACTCCTAAGACGGATGTACGCGGTGCGAAGGCGAGAATCACATTTTGAAAACGAGCCGCCCTCCATCCGTGAAGCTCTTGTTAACTTTTACCACGCATGTGCGCAGCGCTAAGACGAGAACCACACTTCGAAAACGACGTGACCTCCACCAGTGAAACCCTTGCAAGTTTCAAAGACGACTGTGCGCGGCGCTGAGGCGAGAACCACATTGTGAAAGCAGCGTGCCCCCCATCCGTGAAACTGTTCCGAATTCGGAACGTAAGAATTATCAGCGGTGCGGAGGTCTCAAGCGAAACGCCCGGCCCGCCCTACCGACACGTCTCGGGGCGCGACATGGAGGAGTGATTTAGACGGAACAGGGGTGGAGGAGGAGGAGGAGGATGAGGAGGAGGAGGAGGATAAAGAGGGGTGGAGGAGGAAGATGAGAAGGACTTGGAAAAGGAGGACGAGGAGGAAGCGAAGGAGCGAAACTGAAGAGGAGGAGGGAGCAGCAGCAACAGCAGCAGCAGCAGCAGCAGCAGCAGCATCTGGAGGGGCAGCAGCAGGCGAAGGATGATACGCACGTTGGGGCAAGCATAGGGAATCGCTCTTTCCTTGAGGAACACCGATCGCACCAGCACTGGGCAGAGTTCTCTTGGCGGGGCGGCTGAGGTTCCCGAAGAGCCGAGGCGCGGGAAGAAGCGGAGGAAGAAGCCGCGCGTGGACACATGAGCCGCCCGCTTCTTCTCCTGCGCCTCCTCCCTGCTCCACCTCCTCCCTCCCCCTCGGGATCCTCTTGCTGGCTTGGCCGGACGTCTGCGCTCTCACCCGTGCGTGCTGCTGGTGCCAGCGGGGCGAGGTGTCGCCTGATGCGCCAGCGCCATGTTGCACGGGCTGTCCTTGCTTACCGCTCCCCGCTGCTGCAGACTGAACATGGGCGAGCTGGCACGCCGTGCTACCAGCGCTCCTGCGCCTGGTTACCGCTGGGACCTAGAGATGAGCGTCGTCCGTTCTCGCGTCGGGCTTGGAGCGTTCTTGCGTCGGCGGGTCCTCAGAGCAAGTGCCCCATCGACATCCTGCACAGCCATCCTTGCGATCAGCGCGATCGCCATTTCCAGCGGAGAACGCACCCCTCAAGTTTTGGCTGGCCAATCCAGGGGCCGTGCACAGTTTGGTCATGCTTGCTGGTGAGTTTCTGCTGATGGGATCTCCGCTTGAGTATCCTCACTGCCGAAGGGATGACACGCATCTCCACCGCCACCATCGACGAGGCGCTTGCGAGAAGTGATCCACCTCGCCGAAGGAGAAGGAAGAGGAGGAGCACGACGACGATGCATCGAGGCCGAGTTTGGTGCTGACTCCAGAGCGACCAGAGCAGCATGGCACAGACCCAAGTGGTATGGCCTTCTGGTACTTCCGTGGCCACGCTGCGGGAGGTCGCTCGCAGGACGTCGGTGCCTTGGCCCTACTCCCAGAGATCCGGTGTCGTGATTATTCCAATGCGCGGTCCCCGGAAGTCTCGACCCATTCCCCAGGACCGGTTTTTCATCCTGAGTCGTTTTTTGACGGCCCCGAGGCCTGGCGAGGGCCCCTAGGGGCCGAAATGTGCGAAACACCTCCGTCTTGATTTTTTTTTCAATGCGCTGGATCTCTGGGCCTGCACCTGCCTCTCCCCGGTGGGGGCCTGCGGGAAGGGTCGAACCCGCTCTTCGCGGATGCCTTCTGGCTTCCTCGACATTTTGTCCGCTGCATGTGCCCGAGCTTCCCAGGATGCCCCCCGCCGTCAGCTCCCCCACAGCCTCGCGGCTGCGTTGTGAGTGGGCCGGCCGGCTAGTGCGCCTCCCGTTAGCTAATTAGGCTTGCCCGTTGGCCCGGACTCCCTGCCCGCCGCGCGCGCTCTTCCCAGCCCCCCGACGTAATGAATTTTTCATTACGTCGACCCCAGAGTTCTCGACCCCTTCCCCAGGACCGGTCTGTCACCCTGAGTCGTTTTTTGACGCTCCCGAGGCCCGGTGAGGGCCCCCCGAGGCCGAAAATGGCGAAAAAACTCCCGTCGTGATTTTTGTCATTCCTCGAGGGGGTCTGGGTTCGCTGGCGGCCGCGACCGAAAAAAAAGGATCACCCTGGGCCCAGGATCGGTGTATATGCCTTCTTGCGCAAGGCAGGAGGGCGTATACACCGATCCTGGGCCCAGGGTGATCCTGGCCAGGATCGGTGTTGGTGTATAGTTGGTGCCTACCTATGTTAGCTGATTAGGCTTGCCCGTTGGCCCGGACTCCCTGCCCGCCGCGCGCGCTCTTCGCTGGCGGCCGCGACCGAACAAAAAAGGATGCCTTGTGGCCCACCACCGCCCAGCCCGCCCACCCTGCCCGGCAGCTCGCGGGCCCCGGGGTTCCGATGCGGCACGGGGCACGCCGCGTGCCGGCGGCCCCGCGCTCCTCCTCCTCCTCCTCCTCCTCCTCCTCCTCCTGCTCCTCCTCCTGCTCCTCCCTCCTGCTCCTCCTCCTCCTCCTACCTCCTCCTCCTCTCCCTTCCTCCTCCTCCTCTCCTCCCGCCTCCTCCTCCTGCTCCTCCTCCTCCTCCCTCCTCCTCCTCCCTCCTCCTCCTCCTCCTCCTGCTCCTCCTCCTCCTCCTCCTAATCCTCCTCCTCCTCCTATAATCCTCCTCCTCCTCCTCCTCCCCTCCTCCTCCTCCTCCTCCTCCTCTCCTTCCTCCTCCTCCTCCTCCTGCTCCTCGCCTCCGTCGTCTTCTTCTTCCTCCTCCTCATCCTCCTTCTCTGCCTTCTTACCCCCCCTCATCTCCACCCTTTTCCTCACAAGCGCTCGGCCCTCGTCATCTCGCCATACGTATCGGTAGGGCGGGCCGGAAGCTTCGCCTAAGAATTCCTCACAGCGTAGAATTCTGATGCATTCGAAGCAACTACAAGAATGGAGGGTGGGTGTCTTTCAACATGTGGGTCTCGCTGCAGCGTCGCGCACATTTGTCTTACAAGCTTCCAGCAGTACCAGGGATGGAAGGCGGCTGGTTTTCAAAATATCGCTCTCGCCTTAGCACTGCGCACATTCGTCCTGAAAGATTACAACCGCTACAAGACGGAAGACGGGCCGATTTCAAAATGGAGCTCTCGCCTCAGTGCCGCGCACATTCGTCTTAAAAGATCCCAGCTATGAAACCGATGAATGCCGGTTCTTTTCCAACATGAGGATGTCGCTAGATACTTCTATCAGCATGATGATCTGACGCGTCATAGCGTACGACAGTTACACAGATGGAGTGCGGCTCATTTTCAGATCGAGGCTATCGAGTGAGACGATGTGCAAACATGTGCGACTGTTGTGCGGATGGTGGGCAGCCCCTCAAAACGGAGCTCTCGCTTGACACTTGCTTGCGCTTTCCGAGTTTCTCACAGCTGGACGGAGTCAGATCAATTCTAGACGCTTCGCGTATCCCCACCAGCCCGTCCAGAAACGACGCCCAGGCGAGTAGAGGGTCGTCCTGAGGGGCTTTTCGGCATCTTGGGTGCCTCGGGGGGGCCTCTGTGGGCCGTTCGGGATCCTCTTTGGGGCCTCCTGGGGGCCTCTTGGGGCCTCTTGGGGCCATCTTGGGGCCTTTGGGGGCCTCCTCGGCGCTTCTTGGGGCCATCTTTGCCCCTTGGGTGCCTCTGGGGGGTCTCTTGGGGCCTCTTGGGGGTCTCTTGGGGGCCTCCTGGGGGCCTCTTGGGGGGCCTTTTGGGGCCATCTTGGGGCCATCCTGCGGCCTCTTGGGGCATCCTGGGGGCCTCTTGCGGCCATCGTGGAGGCAATCGATCAAAGAAGAGGGGAGCTTTAATTAGCCCTGCCCCCTTCAGCAGGCCAAAATGGGGCCAAAACCATAGTAAATCAATGATTTTGGCTTCCTCGCCGAGGCCGTTTTGGACGCTCTGACCGCTCCCCGCCCCTCCTGTCCAGGTCAGTGGGGAGGGGGTAGGGGGAGGGGTAAACCCCTCCCCGAAGGGGAAGAGGGAGGGGTGGAATAGGAAACGCCCTAAACCACCGACGCCCAGAGGGCTGGTGGGATTCCTATTGCGAAGGCCTTACGGCCGGTGGCGCCGACCCTGAATGGCGACGACGACGACGACGAGCGCCCTCGGGGGCCTCTTGGGGGTAGTTTGGGGGCCTCTCGGGAAGCTCTCGGGGGCCGCTTGGAAGCCTCGTGGGGACCGCTTGGGGCTTCCTGGGGGTTTCTTGGGGGCTTCTTTGGGGGGCTTCTTGGGGGGCTCCTTGGGGACCTCTGGGGGCCGACGGAGTCAGACCAGCTCCTATTCAACATTGGACCCTCGCGCCTGCATTGCAGGCCCATGGGGCGCCCGTCTCTCAAGGGGTCGCCTCCCGCAGGGAAGACGAGCGCCTGCGGGCAAGGGCGCGTGCGGGAGGGGACGTGGAGCGGGAGGGTTTCTATTGCAGCCCCGTGGGTGCATCCTGGATTCGCTCTGGTCCTCCTCCTCGTGGCTCCTCCTCCTCTGCTCCTCCCCCTGACTCTGACTCTGGCTCTGTTCTGCCTTCATGATCTTCCTCCTCCTGCTCTGTCTCTCCTTTCCTCCTCCTCCTCCTCTGACTCTGGTCCTCCTCCATCTCCTCCTCCTCCTCCTCCTCCTCCTCCTTCTCCTCCTCCTCCTCTCCTCCTCTCCTCCTCCCTCCTCCTCCTCCTCCTCCTCCTCCTCCTCCTCCTCCTCCTCCTCCTCCTCTGTCTCCCCTCCCTCCTCGCCCCTGTGCAATGCACGCCGCATGCACGCGCCCCCCCCCGCGTGCGGGACCTGGCTTGGCGGCTGAGCCTCGCGGCTGCTGGCCGGCTGGCGCGTGCCCGGCTGGAGCGCCCTGCCTTCGAAAGGGAGGGCGGCGACAAAGACGTCCTCGTCCTTCTCCTGCTCCCTCCTCATCTGTCCTCCTCCCTCCTCCTCTTCCTCCGCTTTCTCCTCCTCCTCCTCCTCCTGCTCGTCTTCCTCATCCTCCTCCTCCTCCTCCTCCTCCTCCTCCTCCTCATCATCATCATCATCATCATCATCAGCATCATCAGCATCAGCATCAGCATCAGCATCATCATCATCATCATAATCGTCGTCATCGTCATCCTCATCGTCGTCATCGTCATCATCATCATCATCATCATCATCATCATCAGCATCAGCATCAGCATCAGCATCCTCAGCAGCATCAGCAGCAGCAGCAGCAGCATCAGCATCAGCATCATCATCAGCAGCATCATCATCAGCATCATCTCTCATCTGTCCTCCTCCTCCTCCTCATCATCATCATCATCATCATCATCATCAGCATCATCATCGTCATCAGCATCGCCATATCTCATCTATCATCTCTCTTTTTCCTCTCTCTTTCTCCTCTCTCTATCTCCTCTCTCCTTCTCCTCTCTCCTTCTCCTCCTCATCCTCCTCCTCATCCTCCTGCTTCCTCCTCCTTCTCCTTTCCCTCCTCCTCCTCCTCCTGCTGCTCCTCCTCCTCCTTCTCCTGCTTCTCCTCCTGCTTCTCCTCCTCCTCCTCCTCCTTCTCCTTCTCCCTCCTCCTTTTCTCTTCCTCCTCCTCCTCCCTCCTCCTTCTCTCCTCCTTCTACTCTTCTTCCCTCCTCCCTCCTCCTCCTCGTCCTTCTCCTCCTCCTCCTCCTTCTCCTCCTCCTCCTCCTCCTCCTCCTCCTTCTCCTCCTCCTACTCCCCCTCCTCCTCCTCCTCGTCCTTCTCCTCCTCCTCTTCCTCCGTATTATCCCCCCCCCCCTTTGTATCATCAGCAGCATCATCCTCCTCCCCGTCCTCATCCTCCCTCTCCAGCTGGGTCGGGGCGCCCCCTTGGGCACGCCAGTGGTGCAGGAGGACGGGCAGGAGGCAGGAACGGGTCGCAGAAATGCTGGGAGGGATGATGAGAGGGAGCAGGAGGAGGAGGAGTAGGAGCAGGAGGAGGACGGGGGTGCAGAGGAGGAAGAGGAGGAGGAGGAGGAGGAGGAGGAGGAGGAGGGGGAGGAGGAAGGCAAGCAGGAGCAGGAGGAGGAGAAGACGAGACGGTGGGGCTGATCTTAGGCCCACCATTCATCTAGGCAATATGTTGCTTAATTTCTGCAGGTCGCTGAATGCGTAGCGAGCTCACTGCTACCGTTGGACCCGGCCCGAACGCCGTTGTCGGGATGGTTACCGGTCGGTTAAATGTTACTTTGGGGGGAACGAACATGTATGTTGGACCCATTGGTGCAGTGCAGGGTTGTGGTGCAGGTGGCCAGCTTTCCATGGGTTTCCTTTGGAGGCGACAGGTGTTTCGAGCACAACGCGGAAGGCGTAGTGTAGACGCCGCTGGTGCTTTGGGCATTTCCACGCCCGAAGGTCGTCGTCGTCCTCCTCCAGGATTGCGGTTAAGGTTTCCGCGGGGAGCCCAACAAGATCAGACGAAGGTTTTCGTGAGGAGCCAGAGTTAGGATGAGGAGTTCGTTAGTGCCCCAAAGAGTTAGGACCAGGTATTCGAATGGAGCTTAAGGAGTTAGGATACGGCTTCCACCTTATCCTAACTCATTGGGGTACTTGAGAACACATTGTGCTAATTTCTCGGGCGCCTGACGAAAGTCCTCAACTGAACTTCCTGGGCCCCCCCGCGGGCTGGGAACCCAGGGAGTTAGGGACATGTTTTCGCGGGGAGCCCAAGGAGTTCAGATGATGCTTTTCGCGAGGCACTCGAGGATCTAGCACAATGTTTTCGCAAGGGGGCCTATGAGTGAGGATGGACCTTTCGTAGGGAAGCCAATGAGTTAGGATAAGGCTTCTGCGGCAAACCCAGTGAGATCGGACAAGGATTTTCGTGAGGAGCCCCAGAAGTTTGAATGAGGTTTTTGCTAGTGCCCCAAGGAATTAGGATGAGGTTTTCGTAGGGGGCTCAATGGGTTAGGATTAGGTTTTCGCTGATGGGGGCCCAAGGAGTCCAGATGAGTATTTTCGAGCGGGGCTCGGGGGGTCATCGCACTGTTTTCGCAAGGGCGACGATGAGTCAGGATGAGGTTTTCGTTGGGAGCCCAAGGGGTTCGGATGAGGTTTTCGGTGGGAGCCGAAGGCATTCACGTGAGGGGTTTCGCGAGGAGCCCGAGGGGTTATGAGAATGTGTTCGCATGGGGCCCAGGGCGTCAGGATAAGGCTTTCGCGGGGATCGCAAGGGGTTTGGGTAAGGTTTTCGTTAGTGGCACAAGGCGTTAGGATGAGGTTACATGATCCTAGCGGACTCCTTATGACAACCACCATCTGAACTCCTCGGGCTTCCCGCGGAAACCTTATCCTAACGCCTTGAGCCACTAACGAAAACCCTATCCTAACTCCTCGGGCTTCGCATGAACATCCTCATCTGAGCTCCCTGAGCTTCCAGCAAAAACCTCACCCAACTCTTTGGGGTCCCTACGAACGCCTTATCCTAACTCTTTGGGCCACGAGCGACAATCTTACAAGCTCCTCGCGAAACTCCGTGTCTGAACTCCTTGGGGTCCCAGCGGAACCTCATCCTAACTCATTGGGTTCCCTACGAAGGTCTTATCCGAACGCCGTGTGCCACGAACGACAACCTTATCTTGATTCTCTGAACGCCTTGGGCTCCTGGCGAAGACCTTAGCGAAAACCTTATTCTAACGCCTTGGGCCACGAACGGAAACCTCAGCCTGACTCCTCGGGCTCCTCACGAGAATCCTCTTCTGGACTCCTTGGGCTCCCAGCGAAGACCTTGTCTAATTCCTTGGGCTTCTTTCAGAAACCTTATCCGAATGCCTTGGGCCACGAACAACAACTTTATCCTAACTCCTCGAGCTCCTCACGAACATCCTCGTCTGAACTCCTTGGGATCCCAGCGAAAACCTCATCCTAACTCCTGGGGCTCCCTGCGAAAACCTTATCCTAACTCATTGGGGCCCTTGCTACAACACGCTTTACTAACTTCCTGCGCTCCTTGCGAGAATCCTCATCTGAACGCCTGCGGCTCCTCGGGAAAACCTTATCCTAACTCCTTGGGCGCCATGTGGAAACCTTATCCTAGCTTATTGTGACCCTTGCGAAAACATGATGCTGATCCCCCCAGGCCCCGCTCGAAAATCCGAATCTGAATTCCTTGGGCTCCCAGCGAATGCCTTATCCTAACTCCTTGAGATCCCCACGAAAACCTTATCCTAACTAACTGGGGCAGTTTCGAAAGCATTGCGCTAACTCCAGGCTCATCGCGAAAATCTTCGTCTGATCTCCGTGCGCTCACCGCGAAAACCTTATCCTAACTTTTTGGCCTCCCTACGGGAACCTTATCCTGGCTCATTGGGGCCCTTGCGAAAACATTGCGCTACCTCCTCGGGGCCTCGCGAAAACCCCCATCTGAACTCTTTGTGTTGCCAGCGAAAGCTTTCTGCTAGCTCCTTGGTTTCCCTACGAAAACCGCACCCTAGCTCATTGGGGCGCTTGAGGGCATCATTGGATGTATTCCGCGTGTTTCAACGCGCTTCGTTTGGTTTTGTGTTGGTTTCGCTGCGGTTGTGTGAGCTTTCGTTTTGTTTTGCTGCGTTTGTTTTGAACGGAAGCCGCGCCTGATCAACAGGCAGAGTTTGAAACGTTGAAGGAATTGCGTCGTCGCGTTCTGTTTTTCCCCGGCGGAGCCGGGTGAAATTCCGCACCCGCCGATGACTGACTGATTGACTGACTGATTGACTGACTGACTAACTGACTGAACGCCAGGAGAGCACGTCTGACAACACATCTCAAACGGCCGCGGGAGCGCGCAACAGCAACCAGGCGACAAATTTCAACCCGCCCGCGTAACCGCAACCGCAACCACGACCAGGCGACACATTTCAACACGCCCGCGCAATCGCAACTGCAACCGCAACCCGGCGACACGCTTCAACCCGCCCGCGCAACCGCAACCGCAACCGCAACCAGGCGACACATGTCAACCCGCCCGCGCAACCGCAACCGCAACCGCAACCAAGCGACACATGTCAACCCGCCCGCGCAACCGCAGCCGCAAACGCAACCAGGCGACACATGTCAACCCGCCCGCGCAACCGCAACCGCAACCGCAACCCGGCGACACGCTTCAACCCGCCCGCGCAACCGCACCCGCAACCGCAACCCGGCGACACGCTTCAACCCGCCCGCGCAACCGCAACCGCAACCGCAACCAGGCGACGAAGTTCAACCCGCCCGCGCCATCGCAACCGCAAACGCAACCAAGCGACACATGTCAACCTGCCCGCGCAACCGCAACCGCAACCGGGCGATGCGTTTCAGCCCGGCCGCGGGCGCCCGCATCCGCAACCGCCCGTCGCCGGCGCGTGCTCGGCGCCCCCACCGCGCGTCAAAAGCGCCCGCCCCGCGGCGTTCTCGGGCTGCGCGAGAGGGACGGGGAGGACGCTGAGCAGGAGTAGGAGGAGGAGGAGCAGGAGGAGGAGCAGGAGGAGGAGGAGGAGGAGGAGGAGCACGAGGATTAGGAGGAGGCGGAGGGCGGGGAGGGGAGGGGAACAGGAGAGGAGGCGGAGGCGGCACGCAGAAGAGAACGACGGGGGGGAGGGGGGGGCCATGAATACGAAAAGGAGGAGGAGGAGGAGGAAAAGGAGGAGGAGGAGGAGGAGGACAGGAAGCAGGCGAAGGAGAAGGATCATATGGTGCAGGAGCAGGGGGACGAGGACGAGGACGATGAGGAGGAAAGGGAGGAGGAGGAGGGCGGGCAGGCTGGCCAGGAGAACGAGGAGGACGATGGGTAGGGCGATGCATGGGTATCGGTTGCTTGAGCAGGTGCAGGAGCAGGTGCCACTGGTGGAGGACGACCAATGGCGCGATGGGAAGACGGAGGGCCAGGGACCATGAGGAGGAGGAGGAGGAGGAGGAGGAGGAAGAGGAGGAAGAGGAGGAGGAGGAGGAGGAGAAGGAGGAGGAGGAGGAGGAGGCCGATGAGGAGGAAGACGCAGTGGAGGCAGGGGGCGCAGGAGGCGGTGACA